GGGGCAAGGGTCCATTGCTCGCTCTTTTTTGCAGCCCCCCGATTCCTTCCATGATCACCTCCCAAGTGATCGTGTCTAGCTTAGGTTGCTCCTGGCTATGAGGAGACTTACCTGTAATCAACACAGACCATGCTTTGGGGGCAGGGAGAGGAAACTGAGGCAGCGTTTGCTACCAGAGACAAGCCTTGTCTCCTGTGCTCACATTCTGGAGATCGTTCATTCATCCTTAGCCATGGGGGGGTAGTTACAATTCCTGAAACCAGGCAGAGCGGTCCACAACATCTGTTAGACATCCAAGTTGTATGTGTGAGCCTGCAGTTAGGAGAGGTTTGGGTAGAGACCTATATTTGAAAGTTGATGGCTCTTAAAACCATGAGACAGGAAAGACCACCAGGGAGTGAGTGTAAAGAGAAGAAGTAAGAACACTGAGCCCTGAGTCCTTCCTGGGTTCACTGTTACGCTTCTGTGTGTATTCTGTGCTGTTTAAGCATATAGATATAAGGGGAGTGCGTTTTTTTAAAAATATTTTATTTATTTTTAGAGAGATGGGGAAGGCAGGGAGAAAGAGAGGGAGCGGAACATCAATGTATGGTTGCCTCTATCATACCCCATACTAGGGATATGGCCTGCAATGCAGGCATGTGCCAAGTGTTGGAAGCAACCTAAGTGCCCACCAGTAAAGGAGTGGATCAGAAACTATGGTACATTTACATGATGGAGTATTATGTAGTAGAAAGAAAGAAGGAGCTCCTACACTTTATGACAGCATGGATGGACCTGGAGGGCATGGTAGAGGGAAAATGGAGACAACCGTACTTGAAAAAAACCCCCCAAACAAAGGGGAACCCCCCCAAAGTTTCGAGTTTCATTAACATGACAAAAGACATCTTTACTGCTTTTCTCACATGAAACTCCAAGGGTTTTTGGAACTCTGTGCCAGGAACAGGGATGAAGACTATATATATATGGTTTTTTTTATAAAGTACGACATCACGGCCTCTGACAGGTCCTTCAGAGCTTCTGTCTTTGGTGGTCTAGAACACAGGTGGCAAACACAAGTCCCTCAGGCTGAATCTGGCCCACCACTTTGTTTTATCTGGCCTGGCACCTTGTTTCTGCCTGGTGGCAGGGAGAACTCCTTGCCCCTAGTTAAGGATTAGTTATGTTTATACAGTCCTAAAATTACATTCGGCCCTTTGAAAGCAATCACGAGGCTGATGTAACTACCTGGTGAAAATGAGTTTGACACCCCTGGTCTAGAAGGCTACATTGTCAGGCTAAAATCATACCAGGAAAGACATTTTCAGAGTAAGGTTTTCCTGCAGTTTCTCTTCCCATCTCACCACCATGCCATGTGGCCCAGTTTTTTGCTGCTTGGGGTCTCTCCACCATTCCCTCTCTCCTGCACATTCTTTCCTCCGTTTCCATCGGTTCTGTGCCTGGCTAGCCCTTCTCATTATGTCATTGTCAGCTCAAATGCCTCTTTGTTGATGAGTGTGCTCCCTTCCACCAGTCATTTCCAACCACTTTATTTCTTTGTCTTAGTCACTGTTGTACCCCGGCAAGAAGCATACCTGCCACAGAGCATTAATATTGGTTGGCTGATTGAGTAAATGAAGGAATAAATGTCTAAAGGTGTAAACTGGGGGATAATTCCTTCCCTCATTGCACCTCCAACTCATCACCAAGTGTAGTCAGTGGGAAATATTCTTCAAAGGTACACAGTTCCTCCTATTACCTATCCACTAAGCCTCCCTCAAAAGAGGTCTGTCCCTGATAGGGTGACTCAGTTGGTTGGAGCCATCATTTCTTACTCCAAAAGGTTGTGGGTTCGATTTTTGGTCATGGCACTTACCTAGCTGTGGGTTCCATCCCTGATTGGGCTGTGTATAGGAGGTAACCAATCAATGTTTCTCACATCAACATCTCTCCCTCTCTCATCCTACATCAACAAACATATCCCCAGGTGAAGATTAAAAAAGAAGAGGTCTACTGCTTTTACCACTAAATTTTTAAAAGTGGAAGACATATTTTTATCGTTTCCTATTTGCAAGATGGGGAAATGGAGACACGTGGGTCGGGGGAGGCTGCCCATAGCACAGAAACCTCAGCATCTTCCAGTCCTGTCCAATTTCTTACTGCTACTCAGTTGACCCCAGGGATATAGTCTGAATCTGGTTGACTTTCAGACAACCCCAGAGCTTCCATCTCCTTGACCCTTTAAATACAGGGTTGGACTCCCTATGGGGCTCATGCTCCAAGCTGCTGGTGGTGTAGGACCTGTCTTGGAGCCATTCTGGAGGGAAGGTCATTAAAGCTGAAGACATAAAGACATAGGTTAATTCTAGTCCCTCCACTGGAAAGCTCTTAGGTATAACAGGCCATGTTAACTGCTAGTGTACCCAAATAAAATGGAGGTTTGGCTGCTAGCCACCACAAAAGCCAAACTTGTGAGGCAGGTACTGGTGCAAAGGGAAAGAGATTTCATTCAGGTGCTGCATAATCTGGGGGAATGGTGGACTCTTGTCTGAAAGACCATCTCATCTTTCTACTATGGCAACTCTATCAATGTCCTCAGCAAGGCCAAGACAAAAGCCAGTGTCCAGAGTTCCTGCTCCATTTTAAAGTACAGTTCTTTGGAGCCTCCAGTCAGCTGCTGAGCAGCCTTAGTCCTGATCCAGGTAGCTTACTTGTTCCTGGTTGTTGTTCATTTCAGGCTCCCTCCTGGAGCCTGAGTGTGGAGCCCACACCACCATGGGCCATACAATCACATGGCTAGGGCCATATGATCACATGCTCCTAGAGGAGAGAACACATGAACTCACAGGCAAGTGCAACAGCAGGTGGGCAGGAGAGCGTCTTTATTGCCATGATATTATAATAGCTTGAGCTTGGGATGGACTGGAGGCTCCCTCAAAATGACCAATTAACTTCCCAATCTTCTACATGCTTTAGGTGCGTCCACCACTCAACCAATCCCTTCTTCCCCCAGGCTAGACTAATAGGCCTCTTTGGTCTAATACCTCCTCCTGTGTCATTTTGACTTCTATGGCACATGTGCCTGCTTTCCCCTGGTCACACCCCCAATCTCGTACCAGAGTAGGGGGCCTTTTTTCTATTCAATTATTTTGCTAGCTTTTGGCATTCTTGGGGCCCTATCCCTTGATATTTCTAACTTTCTGCACTCAGTGTAAGAGCCCCCCACTGCTGACATCTTGGCTGATGGGAGACAGTCCTCCATTCTCCAACTAACTGTTTTATGGTAATGCTACATACAACCTACAGCCCCAGGTATTAGTGGCTTAAAGAAAAAATTTATTTGTCACCCCACCACAGACTTATGCAGGTTGGCAGGTTGGATATGGGACAAAACTGTATGTCCCTCTGCTTCACAACTTTATGGGGATCCAGATTCCCTCCATCCAGAGATTCTGCCCTTCACTGACCTTTGGAGTTTTCACCATTAAGCCAGCAGATGGGCAAAGAGTGTGGAAGATTGCCTAACAAATGCCTGGAGGTAATAAATATCATTTCCGCCCAGTTTCCATGGGCTAGAATGCAGTCAATGGCCTTGCTAACTGCAAGAGAGTCTGAGACATGCGGTCTAGCTGAATTCCCAGGTGAAAAAGGAAAATGGCTTAGTAAACACTAGCCAGATTCTGTCCTTCCCTCGCTCAGGACTTAACTTACAAATTTCTTCCTCTGAGAGGTGTCCCTTGACACATCCTCACCACCAAGTCTGGGCTATTTTCTTCCTATTGGCTTCCTTTATGTGATGATGTTGACTTGTTTGTTCCTTCCTTTAGACAAGGAGAACAGAGAATATATCTGGCTTTTTGATGTGCAGTGCTTCTAGTGCAATGCCTAGCACAGAGCTACTCAATATATATTGATTTAATGACTTTCTCTGGGACAGTTTCCTCTTCTATGATGGGAATACCAGCCAGATAGGACTGTTGTTAGGATGGGTATTGTGTATATATGCACCTAGCAGCAACTTTTTCATCAGCGAGTGCCATGTGCCTAAAAAACATAAGTTTCCCTTTCCCAAATCCCTCCCTTAAGTCTTCATCTTATGCTGTGCAAGCCTCTTGTCAAGTGGCACCACATGGCTCATACCTATCCCAGCATGTGCCCTCCTCGTTCCTGTGCTGAAGGATGGACTGGATTGTGTTTGCTTGTCTCTGGGACCCTTCTCCTAATGCAAGGCTTGGACCACAGTAGGCATCAGGGAGCACTTACTGCAGGCTTGACTACATCAGAACATTGCCTGGCTTGTCACAGAGGGCAAACTGGCTGCCAGGCAAAATTAAACAAATTTTGTGCTTGGCCACAATCATGTGTAAATTAAAAGCTAAATTAGTTGCTGACATGCAAAAGTCAGATTTCATATAGAAACACTCTCTTCTCCTGAAAAAATGGTAAGATCAGCAATGTTAGGCTATTAGTCCTGGCTGGTATCAATTGACTGAAACTGAGCAATGGCTTCCCCCTTTAGACCCAACATGCTCTCCACTTCTTCACAGTCTCTACTACCCTCTGACACCTCAAACACTGTTAATTTCTCTCCTTTGAGTTATCTGCCTGGCCAGTGTAGACACTTAAATCTGTTGATGACAACCCTTTTAGTGGTTCTAGACACTTTGAGAATCTAGTAAGATTTAGGGAATCTCTCTCTAGCACATGCACATAAACAATATTCTACATAAAATATGGAGCTTTGTAGCCTGTCCTAAGGCAGGCTATAGACTCCGAGGGTGAGAATTCCTGAGTCATTCTCTCCTGTGTTCTAGCACTCTTTCCTAGATTTCCCATGGCTGGTTCCTTCTCAACCTTGGAGCCTCAGGTTAAACAGCAACTCTGACAAGCCTATATATTGATTGTAAAGTAGCTGCCCTCCCTTCCCCTGGTGTTCCAGTCCTTTTAAATCTCTGCTTTTATTTTTCCTAGAGGGCTTCTCACTCTCTGAACCGGTCTGGTTCAGTCATTAGTTCACTTACCTATTTGTGTGTGACCTTTACGACTCCCAACGCAATGAATAGTGCCTGGTACCTTGTTGAAGTGAATAGCAGGATGGATGGATGAGACTCCCCAACCTCCTCCAAGCTTCAGATAGGAGGAACCAGGTAATAGCACCCCTGTAGTCGGTGCCCTCTGCCGAGTCCGGTCCCTGGGGCACCCACCCCCTGAGCAGTGTCTGGTGGTTCCCTCAGATGCCTGGAAAGCGGAAACTTCAGTGCCGGAACGGGTGTGCCCGGAGCGCGGGTGGCGGAGGGGGGTAGTTTAATGAGTCGGACCGCAGCGACGGCCGCAGGAGTGGCGAAACGGCGAGTGTTCTGGGTGGCGGTGGCATGGCGGGGCGGCGGGTGAATGTGAATGTGGGAGTGCTGGGTCACATCGACAGCGGCAAGACGGCGCTGGCGCGGGCGTTGAGCACCACGGCCTCCACCGCCGCTTTCGACAAGCAGCCGCAGAGCCGCGAGCGTGGCATCACGCTCGACTTGGGTTTCTCGTGCTTCTCGGTACCGCTACCAGCGCGAATGCGGTTGGCGACTCCCGCGCCCTACCCGGCGCTAGAGGCCAGTCCGGATCTCGGAGAGTCGGAGCTTCAGGTCACGCTGGTCGATTGCCCAGGGCACGCCTCCCTCATCCGGACCATCATTGGCGGTGAGCGCGGGTTGGGGCGGGAGCCGAGCTTGTGGGTTCTGGGCGAAGCGGCCCGGCCCCTCTGTCGGGGAAGGGAGATCACCTCACTTAATAGATAGGGCCAACTGGGCCCCTGAAAGCTGACATGAATCTTCCAGGTTCTGGCAGCAACAGAACGGAGGCTTTGGGACTCAAACTCAAAGGCCTGTTGACTTTGAAGCTTTTCCCTCACAGCACAACCAAGCAGAAAGGTACTTTCCTTAAAAAAGAAGTTATTTTATTTTTTAAAAATGAAGACGTGTTTGCAATGCATGAACAAAGTGAGAAAACTGAAAGACTACAAAAAGGGTATAGTAAAGTGTCACAAAAAGATCTCCAGTCACCTGTCTGTCCGCCAGTCACCTGTCTGTCCGCCACTCCCCTTGTTCCCATTGGAGTCAACCACTGTTCCCAGTTTCTTGTGTATCATTTCAGAAAAACTCACATAAAGACAAGCATATCTTTATATGCTTGTATAGCTATACCCTCCTCATTATTTTTCTTCTCGCTCTTTTTTTTTAACAAAATGGTAGCAACATATACAATATTTTATTGAACTCTAAGGGAACTCTGTCTGTACATATAAAGCCACATCATTCTTTTTAAAAGTTCTCATAAAAGTCCATTGTACACTTGTACCAACATTATCTTAACTGTAGCTTAATGTTATACATTTATGTCATTTCTAGTTTTTGCTGATGGTACTTAAGTGAATTTTCGAGGAAAGAAATCTTTAGTGGGTGTGCTATTATATCCATAGGTTAAACTCCTAGAACTGAACTGGTGGGGGCAGAGAGCATGTTTATTTTTAGTCATGTATATTGCCAAAATGCCCTCTTAAGCTGTACCACTTACTTTATTTTTAATTATAGAAGTAGTACACGAATATGTTTTACTTATGAAGAATAACAACATTCCAAATCAGACAAAAGTTCCTTAATTACCCCTCCTGTCTCCAGAGAAAGCCACTTTAACCATCGTGGATTACTTTTCCAAACCCATTTTACTACACTTAAGTCTATGAACAGGGCTTTAAAATTTGTGTTGTTTTTAGAGAAAAATGATAAAATAATACAAGCAAATGACACAAAAGGGCATATTGCTAAAAGAAGTCTCCTCACTGCTGACCCAAGTACCTGGTTAAATTCTGTTTCCATTTCCTTGTGTTTTCTTTCAGTGATAGTCTCTACACCTACAAGGACATACGGGAATATATGTTGGGTAGATGATTCTTTTTTTTATTGAAGATGTTTACTCCTCAGTTTTACAATAGCAGTATCTTCAAAGATAAATTAAAAGGATAAATTAAACAGTGATTTGAAATAAAGAATTTTTTGAAAGGTTCCAGGTGGGGAGGAGAATGAGCAGGGGGAGCTGGAGGTGGAGCCAGTGCAGGTTTCCAGCTGTCACCAGTTGCATCATCAGGCATCTTGAAAACCTTATAGAGCATGTCCTTCTCCTGAGTCCCTCTCAGCCAGCAGGCAGCTGTTTTGCTGGTGCTATAGAGCAGGCAGATACAGGTTGAAGGGAGTTTGTAGAGGTATTTTCTCAGGAGGACTGATTGGACCAGGTGCATATCCCAACTTGTTTTCTGTGTGGACTCTGATCTGAACCCCTGATATCGTCCATTATGAATTGATGATTTTATTGGCCTGGTGACAAATAGCCTATTTAGTCCCTGAGCACGCCAAGTCTGATAATACAGTGATGAGAGTATTAAGTTCTTTGATCATTATTACCACTTAACTGTTCCAAGCTGTAGGCAGTTTGAGATAATTTCCCCATTTTACAGTGGAGGAAATTGAGGCTCAGAGAAGAGAGGGGATCAGCCCAAGGACATGGTGCCTAAAGTCTCCTACTAGAGCCATATTTCAGTCATCAGATGATTATTAAGGGATATGTGATCTTTACCCTTTCGCCCTCCCCTTGTAACAGAATTCTTTTTGGTCATATCCAAGTACATTTTTAAAATTTATTTATTTAATTTTTTTAAATTTAGTTTTTTATTGATTATGCCATTACAGTTGTTCTATTCCCCCCTTCATTCCCCTCCACCCTACCCCCCCATTCCCACTATTACCCCCCCTTTAGTTTATGACCATGTGTCTCAAGTCCTTCAGATTCTGTATTTCCCACACTATTCTTGCCCCTCAATCTATTTTCTATCTACTGTCTATGCTACTTATTTTCTGTACCTTCTCCCCTCTTCTCCTCCTCCCACTCCCCTGTTGCTAACCCTCCACGTGATCTTCATTTCTATGGTTCCACTCCTGGTCTAGCTGTCCTTTTAGTTTGCTTTTGTTTTAGGTGTGGTTGTTAATAACTGTGAGTTTGCTGTCCTTTCACTGTTCATCTTTTTTTAACTTCTTTTTCTTAGATGAGTCCCTTTAACGTTTCATATAATAAGGGCTTGGTGATGATGAACTCCTTGAATTTGATCTTATCTGGGAAGCACTTTATCTGTCCTTCCATTCTAAATGAAAGTTTTACTGGATAGAGCAATCTTGGTTGTAGATCTTTGGATTTCATTACTTGGAATACTTCTTTCCAGCCCCTTCTTGCCTGTAAGGTCTCTCTCTTTTTTTTGTTGTAAGATTTTATTTATTTATCTTTAGAGTGTAAGGTCTCTTTGGAGAAATCCGCTGACAGTCTGATGGGAACTCCTTTGTAGGTGACTGTCCCCTTATCTCTTGCTGCTTCTAGGATTCTCTCCTTCATTTTAATCTTGGCTAATGTAATTATGATGTGTCTTAGTCTGTTTCTTCTTGGGTCCAACTTCTTCGGGACTCTCTGAGCTTCCTGGATTTCCTGGAAGTCTATTTCCTTTGCCAGATTGGGGAAATTCTCCTTTATTATTTGTTCAAATAAGTTTTCCACGGGCGGCTGTGCCTTTCCCCCTTCTGGTACCCCTATAATTCGGATGTTGGAGCGTCTAAAGATGTCCTGGAGGTTCCTAAGACTCTCCTCATTTTTTTTGAATTCTTGCTTCTTCACTCTTTTCTGTTTGGCCATTATTTGCTTTCTTCTGGTCCACTCCATTGATTTGAGTCCCAGTTTCCTTTTCATTGCTATTGGTTTCCTGTGCAGTTCCATTCATTTCAATTAGTTTCGCCTTCATATGTTTCTCTAATTTGTGGCTATAATCAACCAGTTCTGTGAGGATCCTGATCACCAGTGTTTTAAACTGTGCATCTGAGAGTTTTGCTATTTCTTCATCGCTTAGATTTATAGGCTCTGGGGCTTTGAGATCTTGAGCCATTTTTGGTCTGTTTGCGCCTGTTAGTATGAGGAGCGGAGCCTTGGACTCCCAGGTCTCTGGGTTGTGATGCTGTATGTGGGGGCGTGGTCAGAGTGGGGAAATGGCGGCCCCCTCTGCTGTTTTGTGCCGCTGGGTAAGGAGCAGAGCCTTAGGTGGTTCACCTGGGTCGGGCCACTCAGAGTCGCTGGGTTATGACGCTGCATGTGGAGGCGGGGTCAGAGCGGGGAAATGGTGACGCCCTTCGCAGCCGCTAGCGTCGAGGACCCGCTGGGTCCCGCTCAATCGCCCACTCCCTCGCTTGTCTATCCCACGCATGAATGCGCGACCACAGTCAACCTGCAGCCCTGCTCTCTCGCTGTTTCCCTGAGGTCGCTCGCTGGGTCTGTCACTAGGTCCAACCCTGCGCCTGGATTCCTAGTGCCTGAGTCCGTCGGACAGAGTTTTCCTGTGCTACCCTGCTCCGCCAGCTGCTGGTTTGGCCCCTTACCGGTCAGGCTGAAGAATTTGTTGTTAACAGACTTCTGAAAAGTTCAATTTTTTGTGTTCTGGCTGTGTTTTCTGTTGCTAATATTTAGTTGTCTCTAAACTTGGTTGTGTGAGAAAGCACGGTGTCTCCACCTATGCCTCCATCTTGGCGGAAGTCCCCAAATACATTTTAAGACATGTACTCTGACCCATTCTAGGTTGGAGGTGGAAGAGACAGGTTAAAAAAAATGAGAATGCAAATTCTTGGTGTTTTTTACTAAATAGCATAGACAAGTGGTGAATGATGTACTTTGGGGTCAGAACTGGGCTTGGGGCCAGGCTTTTACCTTTACTAACTGTTTGACCTGTGAACCTAATTGTGGACCTTCCAAACATTGGCTGAGAGTAGTAACTATTGGGTTGGCCAAAAAGTCTGTTTAGTTGTTTTCTGTAAAATAAAAGAAACATTTTTCATTTTCACCAATATCTTTATTGATTTGGATATTTTGGGTATTGGCCATCTCCTCCTGTTGGTTTCTAATGGATAGAGGCCAGAGGTACTGTTAAACATCTTCCAATGCATAAGACAGCCCCACAGCAAAGAATTATTTGGCCAAAATGTTGGTAGTACCATGAGATTTAGCAAACCACTTTTGACATGTGTGATCAGTCACAACACCTTCTGCACAAATTGTTTTTGTTACAGTTGCGTTTTTACTTTCTTGAAATAATAAAGCACACTATGCTGAAAATGTGTGTCTTTTTCCATCCTCAGTATTAAAATGGCCGCACAAAAATTTATCAGTTTTGATCAGTTTTTTTAAATGCAGGCTAATATGACAATTGTCACAACACAATCTAACAAAATTGTTTTGAATGAAGTTAAAAACAACTAAGCACTTCTAGAGCCATCGTACAGAAAAAACTAAACAATTTTTTTTGACCAGCCCAATACAAAGCTCTATATTGGCATTGCTTTTCTGGCATGTTTGTCACTTCTTGGACAAACCCTACAAGAAGTGTGGTGGTTACTATTTAACAGTTGAGGAAATTGGAATTTAGGGGGCTGCTAGTGAGTAGCACAGCCCAGATCTGTTTCACTACAGAGGTAGAGATTTTTCCCCCATGCTTCTCCAGGCCACTTTAGACTGCCACTTTACAGAGAAGCTCTTCACAGGACAAAAGGTTTCAAGCAATAGCCTGATCCTATACACCCAGTGCCACCAAGAATTTGTCAAGTCCTAGTCTAGAGTATAAA